ACTCACGAGTTCGATTTTTCAGAAGAGGTAAATAGATATTTCTATACTATTTGCCTTCCTCCCACATTAATATTATACAGTTTTACTTCTGTGCTTAGATGTTGATCATTAATTGTAGTTAATTTTGAAGTTATACCATCTTGGAATACATTACATGATTGTAATGTTTTCTATTGAAGAAATTCACATATTAAAATCAGTAAGGAAGAGTGTAACAACTCATTCTGTTAGTACACAACAAAGACAATAAAATCCCTTTCCTCGTGCGGTTTACCTCAGGGCCAGGGCTGTAACTCAGCCGGAATGTATAGGCCTTGCTTTTGTGTGACCCTCGGTGTCTGCTCCACAGAAAGATACAACAGACATGTAAGTTACTTCAATGATGGAGTAATGGGTGAGACACATGAATGAGTAGAGGGAACCATATAAAACCTTTCATGGTTGTCCTGTTTTGCTAGACCATGTCATTCCGAGGAATGAACATTTGTAAAATCCAGCATGGTCTGAAATAGAGGAAGTGGAACATGAGGGAAGACTTTAAAATTAGACATCAAGCGGTGGCACAACCTGCCTTTTTCATACTGGAGAGCAGCAGAGGTACAGTGCAAAGAATATACAGGCTGTGTAATATACAGGCTGTGTTTATGGGGCAGTAAGTGCAACAGACGTAATAAAGAAAAGACAAGGAAAAACTGAGTGAAATAGAAAATAAGGCTGGTTCAGATAAGGTAATAGTAGGTTTTGCTGGATGTCTTTAAATAAAAACATAAATAATCTAGGTGTAGAGTAGAGGTTGGGATACAGATTTTCTTACATAGGTAAGAAATAGAGGGACCAGATACAGTATAGCTGTTAGGTACACGTCTTGCAACCCTTATTCCATCCCTGGAACCATGTGGTCCTCTGAGCACCATCAGGTGAAGTTCTGGTAAGAGCTGGCATGGCCCCTGCAATCCTCAGCACCACAAGGCCCTACCAGCACCATATCCTCAGCACCACCATAATAATTGCCAACCCGGTTGACCAAGAATCACCAAGAGTGGGTCCTGGGATCTGGGAATACTACTTGGGAAGTCATCACTACCACCTCCCAAATATGATCGGTAGATCCATTATCAACCACTTGTGTCACAATTCCTCCACATAATCATTGTGCATTGTACTGACACAAACACTTTAAGTGTTTGTGTTTAAGTAAGAATCATTCCTGTAAGCGCTAGTTCCTAGGAAATTACCTATCAAACAAAAAAAATTTAGAAGAAGTGCCATGATGTCATAAGATATCTTCCTTCTTCCATGAGTTGATTCACCTGTTCAGAATTCCCTCACCAGAAATCAGTAAAATTCATAGCAGAAACTGGCAGCCTTCATAGGAGCACTTAATCTCCAGCATCCCACAAATTTCTTGAGCTTATGGTTTTATGTCATGTGATATTTTGCATGGGTAACTGACACCGTGTCATGTCTGCGGAAGAACATGAGTTCATTCCCATGCAAAACAAAAAGCATCCCAACCAAATGAGCATCTTTGATTTTGTTAAACTTGATGTCCGAAATTATCTTAGACTTTTAAGATGCATTCTCTTAAAAGTGTTAGTAATAGGTAATCTTTGTGTCTCATTATTTTCTTGCATACCTTTTCTTCCAGCTGGAGGGATAGCACAGCGGGTAGGGCATTTGCCTTGCACACGGCCGACTGGGGTTTGATTCCTCCGCCCCTCTCAGAGAGCCCAGCAAGCTACTGAGAGTATCCCTGGTAGCTTGCCAGGCAAGCTCCCCGTGCAATATTCGATATGCCAAAAACAGTAACAGCAAGTCTCACAATGGAGACGTTACTGGTGCCCACTCGAGCAAATTGATGAACAGCGGGAGGACAGTGCTACAGTGCTACCTTTTCTTCCATTTCACCACATCTATAGCCTTGTTTCTATGGAATGTACTTGTTATATGTTTATATTCTCTCCTGAACATTATATAAATGATCCGTACCTTCAGCATAATGTTTGCTGAGAGAAATTACAATGTGCAGAGACTCTAAAGATAAATTCAGGGCTGGAGAGATAGCACAGCAGATAGGACGTTTGCCTTGCATGCAGCCAACCCGGGTTCAATTCTCAGTATCTCATATGGTCCCCCTGAGCACCGCCAGGGGTGATTTCTGAGTGCAGAGCCAGGAGTAACCCTTGTGCATCGCCAGGTGTGACCCAAAAAGCAAAAAAAAAAGTAAAATTAAATTAAATTAAAAAAAATAAAGATAAATTCAGTGGGAGCCAGAGAGATGGTACAGCCTTGCACACAGCAGAGCTGGTTCTGTCTCTGGCACCCTATATGGTCTCCCAAGCCTATTATGTGTGATCCCTGAGAGCCAGGAGTAACTCCTGGAACCCTGAATGTCTCAGGTGTGTCCTTAAAGCAAAACAAAACAAAAAGTGTGATGGGGGACAGAAAGGATATAAAAGACTTAGTCCTAACAGATATGAGACATAAGACAATGAGACTATGAAGATAACCCCAAGGTATTTCATTTAACCTAATGAGGGGCGGGATGGGGGTACCTACACTGGGCAAATCAGAGAGTTAGAGTGCTTGCTCTATGTGAGGGAAGTCTAGACTCAGTCCCCAGCACCACATAGTCCCCCAAGCACCATCAGGATCTATCTCTGGCCAACAAGTCCAGGGTAGCCCAAGAATAAAAGGAGAGAAAGATCCAGTGGGATAAGCCCATGGTACAGCTCAATGTTGGAGCATTTGTCTTCCATGTCTGAGGCCTGAGTTTGATACCTACCACCAAAAAAAAAATTAAAATACAGCAAAATAGTCTCTGCAATATATAGACATATATGCCAGAATATATATATGTATATATATATACACACACATATATATATATACTGTTTTTGTATTTTATATATTACACAATAGCCTGCACCGCAAAGCCTGGCAAGCTACCCATGACATATTTGGTATGCCAGAAAATAGTAACAACAAGTCTCACAATTTGTTGTGAGACCTTACTGGTGCCCACTCGAGCAAGTCCATGAACAATGGGAGGACAGTGCTACAGTGCTATATAACAGCCTGTCTGTAACTATATATATTATTGTTCTGTTTTGTTTGGGGGCCACACCCAGCAGTGCTTGGCTATGGGATAAAAGTGAGGGGGGTTGCCTCTGCCCATGTTTGAGAATTTTATTTAGAACAAAAATGTTTCGCCTTGGGGTTGGAGCAATAGTACAGCTGGTAGGGCATTTGCTTTGCACACGGCTGACCCGGGTTCATTTTCCAGCATCCCATATGGTTCCTTGAGCACCGCCAGGAGTGATTCCAAAGTGCAAAGCCAGGAGTAACCTCTGAGCATCGCCGGGTGTGACCCAAAAAGCAAAAAAAAAAAAAAAAAAAACCCACACAGCTTCACTGTTTGACATTATGAAATATCCTCTTCTTTGATTCCATGGATTATGCAGTTTACAAAATCGTTTAAGTCGAACATGAAAATGTTAAGTTTTTTAAATTGCGGAGCATGTCTTTGGAGTCAGATAACTTTTCAACATCAGTAGTGGTTTGGTTTTGTTTTTTAAATTAAATTGTGTTGAGGTATCACAGTGTTTACTATTGAAGTCCGTGTTTCACAGTTGCAGGGCTGCTACACCAGTCCCCAGTCCCCATCAGTGTTTCTAGTAGCGTTCAAGAATAACCTTTACCCTTGAGTGTTAAGAGGAATGATATCGTACCTAAAGTTTTGAGTTTTGTTTTTTTTTTTAAATTGTGTTTTAGAAATAAAATTGGGAGGATAACACCCAAGGACTTAAACACATGTTTTGCATGCAGGAACCATAAGTTCAATCTCTGGCACTGCATGGACCCAGTGGACTTCTGCGAGTGAGTCCCAGTGACTCCTGGTAGTCAGGAGTGTCAGACTGCATGCCCCCAAGCACTGTTGGGTGTGACCCAACTAAGCAACACATACACACACACACACACACACACACACACACACACGCTCACACACACATAAAAGGAATTGGACCATCTCCTTTTTAAAGTGACTTTCAGCACTGAAATTTACAGTGGGGGAGATGGCTGAAAGGACTAGCACGTGAGCTCTGTATGCAGGAACCCAGGTTAGATTCATGTCACCACATTGGTCCTCCCAAGTTCTGCTGGGAGCAAGCCCCAAGTGCCCTCAGGGGTAGCCCCCAAATAAGGAAAAATAGAACAAATACAAAACAAATACTAAAGATTATACCCACCGTGGGATGATCACAGGTGTCAGCTTACAGTGATTTCTTTCATACAAAATCTTAGTCTTTAGTTATTCTCTGCTTTTCGCGCATCTTTCCATTTCTCAGGAGAAAATCTCTTCAGTTATACTGTGTATTATAAACTGTATTCTATAGCTTGAGGTAAAATTAATGGGTTTTTTTTTTTTGCAAGATGGTTTTTATTTTTTCATTGCAACTTACGGGGGAAGATGTGAAAGGAGAGAGAGGGAAATGTGTTCGGGAGAGAAGCCAGGCAGCACAGAGGCAAGCAAGTGAGATCCACATTCGAGGGAGAGCGTGGGCTGGCTGAGCGAGCCCTAATGCTTTTTTAAAGTGCAAGCTTATTAGTGTCTCAACCAGTTGCCTGATTTGTTTGTAAATGAGTGATTTTTTATGAAAATGAAGAAAAGCTGTAAATTGCTATCTTGTGGTCTTCCCAAGCAAGCATCTAATGTAATTATTCTTCACTCTGTAGCAAAGGCTAGAAACCATTACTGCAATAATCAATGTATCTCTGTTACATTATAAAACTTTTAATGTTTTCTTGTTGTTGGGATATTAGTCTTTCACTATTGACACCTGAAGGTTTTCTTTGATTCCACATGTTTTCTCTTAATACTTAAGTATTATTAGGAAGTGGAAGTGGTAAGTGAATTTTCAAACGCATAAACACATTTTGAGTATTTTCAATAGCATTCCCCCTTTTAAGCATTATTTTTTCTTACTTCATCCACGTAGTGTCCACTTGGCAAGAAGAGTGCTTCAGCTAGAGAGGCAGAATTCATCGGTTTTAAAAGACCTGGAGCGTCATAAGGACCAAATTACACAGCTTTCACAAGAGGTAAATAACCTAACAGAAATGCATGTAAAGAATCACAATGGTCATTTAATTCTTGGTTATCCCTTTTTGTATACTTTCTGGGCATTTTTAAAATAAGTTGTTTGCTAGTACAAAATGATTTTACAATTAGCTTTAAATGAAATGTTAAAGCATTATATAAAACAACTTATGTACAGCATGTAGCAAAAATAAGATCAAAAGAGAGATTAAATGTCCAGACTAAATATAAATGCAGACTAGACAGACAAAGCTTTGATTTCCAGGAATATCAACTGGCAAAGCAAGTTTGGCAAATTTTGGCAGCATTTATAAGTTTTTAACTAAAATCTGTTTTTAAATGATTTGTCTTTTATTTTCCTGAGTTTATGTCATTTAAAGAACATGCAGACATTTTACACTGCCTTTTTTTATCATTTCATTATTTACATCAGTATCTAATTACATTTTTTCTGGACATCTGAAATTCAAGTAATGAAACACTTCAATGCAAAGATGTCAGCTCACAGAACCAGAGCGATAGTACGGAGGGCCGCTTGCCTTGCATGCATCCATCCCGACTTCCATTGCCAGCACGCTGTGTGGTCCCCAGATCCCTCCGGGAGATCCCAGAGAGCTGAGCCAGGACAGAGACCTGAGCACTGGCGGGTGTGGCCCAAAAAAAAAGAACGTCAGCTCACTAATGTATCTTTTACCCTGAGTTTCGGCGTAAGAAGAGTTTCTATTACAACTTTGCCTAGCGAGCGACCCGTGGCGTATTCGGTATGCCAAAAACAGTAACTATAACGGGCCTCATTCCCCTGACCCTGAAAGAGCCTCCAATACGATAGCGTTGGGAAGGACGAATAACGAGAGGCTGCTAAAATCTCAGGGCTGGGACGAATGGAGACTTCACTGGCTCCCACTCGAGTAAATCGATGAATGACGGGATCACAGTGACAGTGATTACGACTTTGATGCTTCTTCTTTCTTGGCTGGGGAGGCAGCGCAATGGTAGAGTGACAGAGTGCTTGCTTTACATGTATGAGAATCTGGGTTCAGTCCCCGGAACAACTGGCACCACATGGTCTCCTGAGTAGGTAACCCCAAATACTCGAACCACCAAGTGGGCCAAAAACTGTTGAAAGAGCATGAGATCTTATCAACTAAAATTTATTACTTTTTCTTTCATGGGTTGAATTTTTTTTTTTAATTTGTATTGAGATACTGTGATTTGTACCACGAATCACGTGGCTTCATACATACATTATTCCAACGCAGTACCCACTCCAGAGTACCCTATCCCTCCACCACATTCCCAGGGGCACCTCCCATTCGCCACCCCATCACTTCCTCCAAACTCATTTCTGTAGACCAGTTCTCCAGTTCTTTGCCTGTGCCGTTCCTTGCTCCCTTGCTCCGTATTATTCATTCTGTGGGTTGTGTTTTCAGTGCGAGATCTAGAATACTTTTGCCTAACCCAAGGTCACAGAAGTTTTTTCCTTCTAGACATTCATGGTTTGAGATCTGCGATCTACCTTTAAATTTTTGTCTAGTGTGCCAGATAGACATTGAAATTCATTCGTGTGTATACTGAAACCAAATTATTCTAGCATCATTTGCCTTTAAAATAAAACCATTATTCGGTGCCATCATATGTAAGTGCCTATTTCTGTTTGGTTCCAGTGACCTTCTTTGTGTCAGCACCACACCATTTTGATAGTTGTACCTTATTATGTCTTCATAACGTCAGAGCACTAGAACAGCGAGTAGGGGTCTTGCTTTTGCTTTGTACGCAGCTGACCCAGGTTCAATTCCCAGCACCACATATAATTCAGATCATTTTCCAAGAGTGATCCCTGAGAGGGAAGTCAGGATTCAGCCCTGAGCACCACTGGGTGTGTAACCCAGAAACCAGAAATAAGTAATAATAATAATGTCTTCATATTAGATGTCTTCATATTAGTCTTCAGCTCTGTTCATTTTCAGTACTCTTGTGTTCTTCTGTCTTTTTTTACATTTCCATGTGAATTCTGTGATCATTTCTGCCCCTAATAAAAAACCAAGTCTGATAGTGATTTTGACTGAGATTGCTTTGAATCTGTAGATGAATTGACACAACAGTCCTGAATACTCTGACACACAAACCCAGAATATCTTCCCCTTTGCTTACTTCTTTACTTTCTCTCAGGATACACAGTGAAATTCACCATATTTCTTCCCCTTTTCCCTCCCTATCCTTTCCCCTTCGTTGTTGCCATCCTTGCTTTTCCTTGTGGTGTGCAGCGGTCACACACTTGGTTGCATTGCTCATGTGGCTTCATTGTGGAGCACAGGGGATCGCACTCAGGGTACCAAGGATCACTTCGGGCACTGCACTTGGCCATGTGTGTTGGCGCCTGGGATTGAGCCTTCCAGTCTCTGCATGCAAGCCAGGCCTCTACCACTGAGTCTCATCCCGGGGTTCTTCCTAGTGTTATTTTTTTAGGGGGGGAGGGGTTGATATAAAATATTCAAGTATTCCCCCATTGTTCGTCATTGTCATTCTGAGAAGCTTGAAAGATTCAGAAAATAACAGCTTTTTTTTTTTTTTTGACCACACCTGAGACGGCTCAGGGATTATTACTGTACTCAGGAATCGCTCCTGACAGTGCTTGTGGGACCATATGGGATGCCACAGATCGAACCCAGGTGCATGCCAGGCAAGTCCCTTACCCATTGTGTTATCTCTCCGGTCCTTTGCTGTACATTTTATAACTAGCATCTTAATGTCAACACTGGCTTAACAAATTCTAATATGTTTCCATCATGTAGCACTATCTGTAGCACTGTCCTCCCATTGTTCATCAATTTGCTTCAGCAGGCCCAGTAATGTCTCCATTGTGAGACTTGTTACTGTGTTTGGCATATTGAATATGCCCTGGTAGCTTGCCAGGCTTTGTTGTACAGGTGAGATACTCTCGGTAGCTTGCCAGGCTCTCCGAGAGGGGCAAAAGAATCGAACCAGGATCGGCCAGGTCAGGTGCGTGCAAGGCAAATGCCCTACCCACTGGGCTATCGTGCCTCTGTTTCTATCATATTTTCCTTTAATAGAATATAACAAATAAAATGCATTTCCCCTTGGTTCGCCTCTTTAATGTTTTTCTTATATGAAGACCTCGTCTCTTACCTTCCTAGAGGCATATATGATAAATATAGTAATTGTATCACTTTGTCTTTTATACACAAAATCTATATTTATTTGTTTGTTTGTTTGTTTTGCTCTTTGGGTCACACTCAGCGATGCTCAGGGCTTGCTACTGGCTCAGCACTCAGGAATTACTCCTGATGGTGCTCAGGGGACCATATGGGATGCTGGGGATTGAACTCGGTCATCCACATGCAAGGCAAACACCCTGCCTGCTACACCATCACTCTAGCCCCAGCTAAAGCTTTCTTAAGCAGCACTTTGTTTCCGGTCAGCATTTGAAGTCTGTCCTTGCTGTATATGGAACTGATTTGCTTTCCCAGGTTGCTGATCCTCTGTCTAGTGGCTGCCAGTCTGTGGGGACCTTGCTGGCAGCCAACTTTCACTCTGCTCCACGTGGTGAGAACCTTTAAGTATTTCTGGCTCTGCATTCACTTGTCAGATCCTCTTCTCTTCCTTCCAGAATCTTCCCTGTTCACTCCACGCAAACTGGAGCACATTCATGACTGACTTCTGACACTTAGGCCACTGAAAACAGCCCATTCATGCAATTCCAGAGCTGGTCAACCCCAGCAACTGACCCCCAGCCACGGGCCTACAACACAGCTCCCCACCTGCGTCCTTCTGTTTCTTGAGGGGCAGGTGAGTGGACCTGGGGGCCAGAACCCAGTGGTACTTGGGAGCTATTCCTGACTCTGTGCTCAGTCCTCGTGGCAGTATTCATGAGATGCCATACAGTGCTGGGGGTAGAATGGGGAGTGAACCAGCATCTTATACATGTAAGCCAAGTGCCTTACCCCTATGCTGTCTCTCCAACCCCATCCTTCTACTTTTCGTTTTCTTTTTTGGGTCACACCCAGGGATGCACAGGGGTTACTCCTGGCTCATAGACTCAGGAATTATTCCTGGCGAAGCTCAGGGGACCATATGGGATTCTGGAAATCAAACCCAGGTCGACCGCATGCAGGGCAAATACCTACCCGCTGTGCTATTGCTCCAGCCCCCATCCTTCTACTTTTAATCTGTTCATATTTCTGTAATATTTTATAAGTAATACGTGATAATTGGATTATATTTTTTTAAACCAGTCTGGAAAAAAATCAGACTTTGGAGTGATTAGAACACATCTAAGTATCTAACATGTTTATTGATTTTGTTTGTTTGTTTTATTTTGTTTTTGAGGAGGACTTGGGAATCACATTTCATTTCGTTTCCGAAAAGTTCCCTAGCAAATACAACACTCACAATCTGAAGTGATCAAATAGCAAGGTTTAGTTGCCTGGAATTTTGTGCATAGGTGGCATTTAGTGAAATCAAGGTAATTTTTGGTAAAGCTATAAGCTGATCGATTTGAAAGAGACTTCAGATCCAAGGATAAAATTAAATAGCTTTATATGTACTGTCATCTGTCATCATGTTGTTCATCGTTTTGCTCAAGCAGGCACTGGTAATGTCTCCATTGTGAGACTTGTTGTTACTATTTTTGGTATATCGAATACTCCTTGCCAGGCTCTGCCATGGTGTATGGCAGGATACTCTCAGTAGCTTTGTGGGCTCCCCGAGAGTGACGGAGGAATCGAACCTGGGTTGGCCATGTGCAAGGCAAACGCCCTACTCGCTGTGCTATCGCTCCAGCCCAGCTCTAAATGTACTAACTTTATGATTGAAACTTTATGATTGAAACTTTCATGATTGAAACTATAGTAATAATTTTTCAATTAAATTGCAAAATAACGTGTATTGTGTTATTTGGTTTTATTATATTGTGTTTGTAGTGGGGTGTATTATGTTTCTGTTATGCATCAGGAAAGAAATTTTTGAAACTAATTGTCATGCC